TCACCATTCTAATCATTCACCATCACCATTCTAATCATTTACCACCACCATTCTAATCATTCACCATCAACATTTTAATCATTCACCGTCGCCATTCTAATCATTCACCATCAACATTCTAATCATTCACCATCACCATTCTAATCATTTACCACCACCATTCTAATCATTCACCATCAACATTCTAATCATTCACCATCACCATTCTAATCATTTACCACCACCATTCTAATCATTCACCATCAACATTTTAATCATTCACCGTCGCCATTCTAATCATTCACCATCAACATTCTAATCATTCACCATCACCATTCTAATCATTCACCACCACCATTCTAATCATTCACCATCACCATCGCCAAACGTCAGTAATGAGTTATCATAATCGGCATCGCTAATAACTTAATTCATCATTCATTCATTCATTCTTTCATTCATTCATTCACTCGTTCATTCATCGCCACACTAACCCATTCATCATTCATCACAAACGAAGTAATGAACGAGTCGTCATAATTGGCAGCAGTGTTAACCACTTGAAGCATGCTTTTTTTCTGAAGATATTAAGCAGGAATTAAAAAGACATGACTGAAAAGATCCTGTAAACTATTCAAATGCTGCATCAACATCATTGCAATCAAGCACTTCATTCCAGTCATAGTTTAGCAAACAGCAATTCAAGTTTTTTAAACGGGTAGTTGAATATGAGAATTTCATTTCAGGCTGAGAACAACTGATGTTTCTTTTCATCTTGATGTTAAATGAGGCTAATATTGGTAGGTGATCTGATAAATCGCATGTCAAACTTCCACTTAGCTTCACAAATTGAGAAAAATTTACGAAGATATTACTTCTGGTTGGTGTAGTGATTAATGGTGCAAGATTGTAACAAGTCAAAAGATGGATCAAGTTTGTTTTGTTCACATCTCTATTTAAATTTGAGATATCAATGTTGAAATCTCCCATTAAACAAATATATTTATTTTCATTATTTACTGCATGAAGGATTTTTTCCAACTGGTTCAAGTAGATTTTTGGGTCTTGTGAAGGAGGGCGATAAGATACTATTATCACCATATTTTTATTTTTGTTGCGTGAATTTTTATTACAGACTTCAATTGAAAATGTTTCAAAGTCCACATTACCCAGGTTATTCAAGTCGTCTCTAACTTTATACACACAGTTGCAATCTACGTAAAATCCCACTCCACCACCGTGTCGACCTGTACGATTTCTACCAACGTAGTCATATCCACAGATATTGATGAGATTCTTGCTAACTTCATTCAGCCAGCTTTCAGTTATCCCAACTAAATTAAATTTAAAAGAAAAACTGTTCAATAAATCAGTTAGATCTTCTGTTTTGTTAACTAAACTTCTGATATTTGCATGCATTATGTTAAATATTAAACATTTATCAACTTCACCTTTGTACGTAAAGTTATAATCATCGTTTACTGATTTATTATCATCATAACATTTGTTGTTGATTACTTTACTCTTGCATATATTTTTAATGTCATCCGAAATGTCTTCCTCATCGCTGTTCTCAACACTTTTTTCATTACCTGATAATTTATCCATCATTAATTTTTTGTTGTACCGTCTGTTCAGTTTTTTTGTCAAATCGCCACTCTCGCACGATGACGTGCTGAGGCATTATTTCGGGGTCTTTTATCTTTTTTACATCTTCTCTGTCGATGCAAACTCTAAAAACGGTTGATTCTTCTTCATTTCTGTTTTTGAGTTCATTCTGTTCATCACTGCTGTTGTTACTGTTGGTTTTTGCTGAGATTTTTTCCTCAGTTTTCTTTGTAACTGGATAGCATGTGATCACGTTAATCCCATTTGCGCTTAGATAATCCATAACATCACTTCTGCGACATCGTTGTACGTTACTGATGCAAAAAACGGATTTTTTTTGTGAGATCTTTATCAGCTTTCAGCTTGCAATTTTCGAGTACTTTTTTTTCAATAATTTTTGTAGCTGTCCTTTTTGTCGCCTGACTGACTTTGATGTTTGCTTGGCTGAGGGCGACGTCGTCAACAGTGTTTTTTACTTCTAAATTACTGTTCATTGACCGTTGTTTTTTGCCGTGTTTTACCAAGGTGAATGGCAGCTCCGTGCTCTCAGTAGGACTCTTGGTTACTTCGGACCAGCAAGTTTGACTTGTTTGCACGTTGTTTGTTTTTTCTTGTCGTTTTTTAACTTCAATGTTTACATTATTTTCAGCATTTAAACATAACTTGTGTTTTAACGAACTTATTTCAAGTTTGTTTGTCTCGACAGCTTCAAATAGTTCTATTCAACATGACTTGTTGTGTACGCAACGACTCCATTATTTCTTGTTTAACTTTTTCAAAATTAATTGTCAAAAAATTTTCAATTTTGGGAATTTTATTCATATTAACACTAACAAAAACAGAACATTTTTCCCAGTAATTATTTTCTTTTAAGAATTTTATTATAGAAATGCATTCTAACAGTTTGTCAATTTTTGAATTGCCAAAAGTTTGTTGTTTATCAACTTTCTCAATTTTTAGCGCGCTAATTTCGTATTTTAGCAATTTTATTCCAGAGGTTATATCTTCGTGACTGTAAAATTCCGAAGTATTGTTAATAAAACAATCTTTTTCAGTCAAGTTCCAATTGTTTTCTAAAAAATATAACAATTCATGATTAACGAGTAACCTCGACGCCATCTTAACCGGAAAATCAATAATACACACACACACACACACATATATATATATATATATATATAAACACACATTCACACATACTTACACACACACACACACACACACACACATATATATATATATATATATAAACACACATTCACACATACTTACACACGCACACACACACACATTCACACATACTTACACACAAACCTTCACACATACACACACACACATACACATACATTCCCAAATATTCCCACTTAATTACACACATCCACACAAACACACATTCGCGCATACTTACACACACACACGCACGCACGCACATACACACGTAGACATTCACATGACACTTTATTACAGGATACAGATCAGTAGCTAATGACAAATACGATTGAAATGAATACGGTCACAAAATAAGACAATGGAAAACACATGCACACACACACACACACATACACACACGCACACACACAAAACACACACACATAAAGTCACATTCACATGAATATAGAACTACACACGCACACACACACATACACAAATACACCACACACATACAGTCACATTCACATGAATATAGAACCACACAGGTGCACACACACACACACTCACACAATTACATACATACTGACAATTCCATTAAGGATTTGTCATCGAGGTAATGGGTGTAACAAGGGTTAAGAACAATAGGAGTGTTTAAATTTTTTGTTTGTTTCTCTTTTCAGATGCGATATTTTTGTATATTTGAATCTGAAAATTTGGAAAAACCACATTGAAGATGGAGTGCCAGGTGTCATGGAAAAATAAAATTATTATTAAACATTAAATGGTTTGTATCTAAATATTAGCCACCAGCCACAGGCATTATTACACACTCTCTCTCTCCTCTCTCTAATCTTCTCTCTCTCCTCTCTCTCTCTCTATTCCTCTCTCTCTCTCTCTATTCCTCTCTCTCTCTCTTTCTCTCTCTCTACTTCTCTCTCTCTATTTCTCTATTTCTATGGATTTCACATGAGATTGTAGTTATGTGTTTTTATATTATAAACAGTGATATATTATACGTATAAACTAACACATATACCTTAATACAAACACAAATGAGTATACACACACACATACACATAGAAACACATACATAGACACGCACACACACACGCACGCACACATATAGAAACACATATACACACACATACACACACACACAAGAAACACTTACATACATACGCACGCACACAAGCATGCACAAATATAACCACACTCTCATACACACAAATTTATGAATAGTACATATAAAACCTATTAAACAAATCAAACAAAGATGCTCTCAAAACCAAAGTACCATTAATATATACATATATATATATATATATATATGTATATATATATATATATATGTATGTGTGTATAGAGTAAGAAAGAAAGAGAGAGAGAGAGAGAGAGAAAGAGAGAGAGAGAGAGAGAGAAAGAGAGAGAGAGAGAGAGAGGGAGTTGAAAAATCGAAAATAATGTCAACGTTCAACTCTCAAAGTTGGATGACCTTAAAATGTTTATCTATTCCAGTCCAAAATATATATGTGTATGTGTGTGAGAGTGAAAGAGAGAGTGAAAGAGAGAGAGAAAATGTGTGTGTGTGTGTGAGTGTGTGTGTGGTATGTGCGTGAGTGTGGTATGTGTATGTCGATGATGACGAGAGGATGATGATGACGAGAGGACGATGACGACGAAAAATAGAAAATAATTGCCACGGACTAAGATGATGCAAATGTTAATAATGAGGCAAAAATAAAAATCTTAGAAAAAAAAAAAATAACCTGTCGATGGCGTTTTTGCCGTCGCAATCGTCAGCGGCCAGCTTGTCAATCCTGTGCAGACAGGTGTCCATCTGGTCACTGATCTGCCTCTCGACAGAGGATATCATCTCGCATTTTGCGTCCTATTCAAGTGTGGCGATTAAAGATGACAATGATGAAGACGATGTGGTGGTGATTATGATGATGATTATGTTGGTTATGATGATGATTTGGTTATGATGATGATTATGTTGGTTATGATGATAATGATGGTGATTATGATGATGATGATTAAGATTGATTATGTTGGTTATAATGATGATGATGGTGGTATGATGATGGTGATTATGATGGTGATGATAGTGATTATGATGATGATTATGATGGTTATGATGGTGATGATGGTAATTATGATGATGATTATGATGGTTATGATGGTGATGATGGTAATTATGATGATGATTATGTTGGTTATGATGATGATGGTGGAGATTGTGTCGATGATAGTGTAGATGGTTGATGATAAGAACGATGAGGATTGGGGCTAATGATGCAGATGACCATTAAGATGATGGTTTTTGAATATTTAAACGCTGATGATGACGACGACGATGATGACAACCGTGATGATCATTTCAGCGCTTACAACTCCGATGATGATGGCGATAATGAGAAGATTATTAACGATGATGAAGCAAACAAAAGAATGATAATAATACGATACGATACAATATATTTTATTTACTTCAAAAATAAAAAAAGAAGACAGGATGACCATGATCAAGCTATCAGGTAACTTAGATAATCAGATAATAATGATGGAGAGGTTGAGAATGATGGTAACGTTGTGATTAAAACGATGACTGATGATACCATTAGATACTATATCATTATATCGCATCCTTCATTATCATTGATGATAATAACATCAACAACAGAACTATACCTCAAAATTACACCCTTAGTTATAACTATAAATAAACTAATAATTATTATTTATAGTTATAATTGCGCTTATAAAACAACCCCATCTTGTGCTTAATGATTTATGACCATAACAAGAATCAAAGTCTTGCATCTAATCAGATGGAAGGGGACAAACATAAAAAACCACATACACACACATATATGGGGAGGGGGGAGGGTAAGATTGCAGAGTCAAATGGCAGTGCAAGGGGGGCTACTGCCTCGGGGCATCCACTAAAAAATGCCATCCCCACAAGAAAGATAACATAATTATAATTTCAACGAGTTTTCATTTTTTTCCATTTATTAAAAAACATAGAAAAAGCAAACCAACAGCCATGTTTTTGGTGAAAATTGAAAAAATCTAAGATAATCTGGGGACTCCACTTTTTGTGGTTCTAGGATTGATTTCCCAACATTCAAATCAGACATGCCCTGTATACATGCCTAATATAATAAATCATTTTTATATAAATAATTATGCTTCATCTATCAGCTGTGGATGGGAATCAACATTTTTGTATGGATGCCAGTGTATTTATTCTAGTACACGTCAAATGAATAAACTCTTGCCCTATTTGAAATCGAAATAATGGAAAATAAATGGAAGATAGAGGAATAAAATTAAATAAACCTGTACAAACTGCTTAACTTTCTCCATTGTGATGTTGTTCGCTAATTTCTGAGAGATGCATGGACCGTTACCTGGATTTTGTTTTAAAATTATCAATTGAAATCTATGGCCTATATAGACTCTATCTATTTCTATTATATATTAATTGGACTTGTTTGAATTTGTTTAACAGATCTAAAAATTAATATGAAAAAAAGTTAAATATTCTGGGAGCAAAAAGAATAAAATTACAAAACTTTAAATTTAAATTAAATTTAATTTAAAGGTTGATTTCTTAGTTAGCATCTGTCTACTCTACTCTAAATTAGTAAATTTAATGATTATTATTTACTAAACTACTTAGCTATAAGTAAAATTATATTAGTTTCTTGTAAAAACATGAAAAATTTATTTGCTAATTAGTAATTAATTAGCAATAAAATAAAAATATGTAAAATTTAAATTAACTTTGTAAAAATGTACTTGTAAGGTGCAAAAAAGTGAAGTAAATTTTTAAATAAATCAAAACTCTAACAAATAATCTGAAAAAACAAATTTAAAACTAACCTTCCATTATTAATGATAGATTTTTCTTTGTTATTAATTTAAATAAAACATCAAACTTCAAAATAAATAACCATATGTATGAAAAGAAGTGTTAATTTATAATATATAAATAAATTATTAATTGATGTTTTAACTTTATTTAATTATTTATTGCATAGGAATAGGACCTCCTTAAAACTAGTAAATATAAAAGGAGATTGAATAATAGAATAAATAATGAATAGTGAAGCAGAAGCTAGTCAGAACAAAGCAAAGAATCTTTGTCAAGAAACTCTTTCAAAAATCTCTAGCCAAGCCTGTTGTTGTTGTTAATTTGGAATTAGCCAATTGAGTCAATAATATATAAATAATATAATTCATTCAAATTCTTAAAAATTAAACAAATAAAATAAGATGATAAATTTAAAATAAATGAATAAGCAACATGAAAAGATATGGCAGTCACGTGTATTTATTTTTATAATGTCATTTGGCCTCTAGTAGCACTAGATATATATAGTGTATGTAGTAGCTTAGAGAAGAACATGCCGAATCATGTGTGTGAATGAAGGAACAATTGAATTGAACTGAACAAAAACAAACAATGTGATGTCTGATATAGTTTACATTACAATGTATGCTCTTCTATACAATTATTATTATTATTATTTACCTATTATTTTATAAATGTATATAATTATAAACTTTTATAATGATATATTTTTATATTTATCCTAACTGTACATAATTTTAATGAAATTTTAAAGACATAACTTTTTGAGTTTTCACCTCAAACTGCGAGAACACGAGAATTCATAAACAGCTGACAATGAACGCATCTACGATGCGTAGACGTTAAAATGCGTTTTCTCCGCTGATAGCCGCAACCGCAACGCCTTATAGTAATTGTTCTAAATGAATCGTTGTAACATTTTACATTATTATTATAATGTTTTGAATTTAAAAAAAAACATTTATAATGTATATTTTGTAGGTAGGGGAGATGGGGGCTCATTGATCTCTGGGGCACATTGATCTTTAAGCAATAACATAGCTATTTCTAAATATAAATGTAGGCCATCACTATTTTAGTTTTCCTTTTGTTTCTATTCTACTTTTAATTCTATTTGTTTATGGACTTTCTGCCGCTGAAGTTCGAAAAATTAGTAAGTTTGATTTTACAGGGAAAAACCAACTATTCACAACAGGTTAGTTTTGTAAATTAAAAATCAGATAAATATTTGTTTGATAAATTAAATTTTGCAATGTGTAAAGATATGTCAGAGGCTTATTTTATTATTTAGTTCGATTTTCAATCACAACTTATTGATGAGATATCGCCATTATAGTGTGCTCCATGCCATGGGGGCTCCTTGATCTGTACTAGTAAGGGGTACGTTGATCTGAAGATCAAAGTGCCCCTACTGTCCTCAGATAATAATTCTCCAGGATGTTTAGTCATTTTTCTCTAACCATGCAAAATGCTATTTTTCCATTATTGTAAAATGTAATTTGTGTACTTTGCAGGTTTGGTTTCATAATGGTGAGATATCGGGAGCGAAAAACTAATCGAGGTAAAACACCTGTTGAAGTGATGAGAACAGCAGTTGATGAAGTTCTGAAA